AAAAAAAAAACGCGATAACAATTTTCAATTTCTTTTTTCTAGAATAGACTTAATACATTGGATATTATGTCCATTTAGAGAAAATATTCTCTCTAACCAATAAACATTTTAAAAGAACATAGTAAAAAAAAGATGCTTGGATTTTGTTCTTTAAAAATACAAAATATAATAAAATAACTATTTTTTATTCTTTTAATCTATTAAATACTATTATGCTTAAAATACTATACATTATTACTATTATCTTTATATCAGTACCTTTCTATATTATGTCAGAATTATTGGACCTCCCAAGAAAAAAATTGAAAATATGCCACTGTTCTTAATTATGCAGTTATCTAATAAATGCAATTATCTAAATCTAAATATTTTATTGTTCATTTATATTTTTAAGTTATTTAATGCAATAGGTTGGATTTTCATTTTTCTATCGAGAGAAAAACTGTTTATAGCTAGGTTCCAACCAGCAAAAAAGAGTATTAGCACTGCTGCATTATTTTGCTTAATCACTTCAAACATCCAAACTTCTGCTAATATTATTCTTACATAGAATGAAGTATAGAAATACTAAAGAAACCTTGGCACAAAAAAAATTAATGTTGTATTAATTTAATAAAATTAATAAATACCACTTCTAGAACAGTCTACATCTTTAATAACAACTTTTTCCTTGATGATATTAGGATTTTCTTGATTTTCTAAAACATATTAATATTATTATTTTACATAATATTTTTATATTCATTACATAATATTATAATTCTAAATGTAAAATATGCATTAATTTACTTTTGAAATCTGTTATTGCATTATGTAAGTCTTTTGACAATCGCCATGCATGAACAGAGTGATCAGCAGAGCCCGTAAATACTATATCAGAATCTAATGGCGAGAACATGCCACATAAAACAGTACATAAATGTTTTGAATAAACTCCAATAAGTGTACATTTTTGTACATCCCAAACCTGAAATAATAAACCATACAAATAATATATATTAATTGTATAGGTTTTTCCTTAGCAACTCTTCTTCTTTCATAGCATTATTTTGGTTCAAAGCACTTTTATCCACTTTTGAAAAGTCAAATCAACCCAAGTAAACATAATTAAACTGAAGTGTGTAAAATAAATGTATACATAATCATCATATTGATGAAAAAAACTTAAAACATTTGTATTACGACTATTAAGCCTTAATGATACATTTTCAGACTGGAAATCAATGTCCCACCCTATTTTTTTATTTCATCCCTCTAAATCAGATTCAATTGTAAGAGTTTAAAATTAAAAATTATAAATTAATATATACTCTACATAAAATAAAATAAAATTCAGCAGCATGGATGGTTTTTAAAAACTGGCTAATACAACTTAAGTATATACTATTATTGATGTAAATATATCTTCTATCTAATCTTATTTGTATTCTGCAAGGGATAAAAATCAATGTAAAGTATTATTTACAGCAAATTTAAATCTATAATAAAATTGCAACCATAGACAAGTTATGATTAAAAAATATTTATGCATTACACAATTAGTTGTTATGTGGATGTCTTAAGAAAAGATTTTTTACATTAATTTTCTTAAAAATAGTGTAGTTTAGGAAAAAAACATTTTTAAAATTTTAAAAATGTTAAATTGTTCAAAGAATTTGGTCTTTTATCAATATAGCTAATTTAAACTTAGAACGTTCACTATCAAACATTACAAATATATTTTAATATAAGGCAACTAAAACTAAAAAGCAAAATGTTAATATTCTAAACATGCTTTTAATTAATTTTTTAATTAATATTATATTCATTTAAAGTGAAATATACTTATTTTACTTAAACATACTTTAGCAGTAAAATCATTAGAACAACTTAAAAGCATTAAATTTCGATGAGGATTCCATGCTAGTTCATTTATTTTTTCTTTATGGCCTTTAAATTCTACCACTAATATTGGTTTACCACCTAAAAAAAAAAAAGGAATAAAATCACAAATAATTTAAATTTATAAAAAATATAAAATACCTTCATCTAGTCGATGAACTCTTATGCAGTGAGAACTTGATGCAAAATAATTCTTATACTTAGACTCCTCACTATAGTCACAAGTTACATGGGCTGGATGCCAAACAATACATTCAACAGATTGTTCATGACCATATACTGTATGTTTAAGTTCTAATGTGTCTCCATCTAACAAATAAATGCTCCTATAATAAATAAAAGTCAATACATTATGGTTATTAATTTATAAAAAATTTAAAAGTTACCCATTTGAATTGCCTAATGCAACAACATCATAATCAGGTTTCCAGGCCATTTCAATACGCCTAACAGGTGTTGTAAGCTTATCTTCAATTTCATTAAACTGTACATACTCTTTAACATAAGTTGGATCTGAAATATTATTAGATTTTTGATCATATATTTTCATTATTTTAATATAAAAACCAGATATGAATTATCAGGAGTATAAAATTTACCTTTCCAAAGATTCATTTCACTATAAATTAAAATCTGTCCATTACCAACTGCATAGAGTGCAAGCTTAGTATCATTGAGTATTTTAGCTTTTGGCATGGGTGCCCAACATAAACGATAAACTGGATGAGAAAGAACTGTTTTTAATAAATTTACATTGTTTCTTTTTCTAGTTAAATTAAAAATTCCAACTCGTCCATCACCAGTACCAAATGCTAATAAACCTTCATCTTGAGGATGAAATGCCAACTAAAAAAAAAATTGAAATAATAGGCACTGATGAAAAAAAAAAAATCAATAAATTCAACTTACAGATAAAACTTTTGAGTCAATTGTATAACTTAATGGAATAAGTTCTAACTGTCTTTTATTAGATACATTCCAATAATAAATTCTTCCATCACCAAGTCCAAATGCAAAGCTATTAATAATTTAAATTTAGGTAAATTAGTCATACATGAAGTATGCATAATATTTCATAAATCTTTTTACAAGAAAAGTAGGCATATTTCCTCATTCTTTAAATTAATTTAATACAATTTCTTAATTTTTAGAAATATATTATAATTGATTTATTGTTTACTTACTCAGCTGAATTAACTGGTGAAAGAGCAAAACAGTATACAAAACCACCGAGTGTTGGTACTTCTAATGGTAATTCACTTGTTTCTGTGGTATCAAACAATGGTGTTCGAATTAGTTTTCTTCCCATACAAGATGACCATAAGTAAGGTTTAGTTGAATTACTAATAAAATAAAATATAGCTAAATTACTGACAAAATCAATATCTTAAAATATTTTGAATTCAATTGTACATACTAAGAACATGCCAAAGAAAAAATTACATCCTTGTGATTATCACTAATCAAAGTAATAATTGGGTCAGTATCCTTTTTTTGTTGTAATTCAATCTTAATAATTTCACCATAAGCTGATGTAACAATAATTGTAGTAGGATTTATCCATTTAAGACAACCCCAAATTAAATTTGTTTTATTTCTGAAAATAATAATTCAATTTATGATTATTTTATTATTATTAACACTAGGAAATAATTATTTAAAACTGAATAAATATTTTAAAACAAATTATTTCTATTAACCTTTTTTTCATGCTTAAGCATAAGCCATACATCAATCTATCTTATTCTTATAAATCATTAGTAAACAATCTCCTCAATACATTCTCCATATCACTAAAGTTATCTGTGAAATATCTTACATACTTTTTATTGCCCTTTTTAGTATTTCAATCTAAAATCCTCTCTATTTTACATTTATTATAAGATCCCTTTATATTTTCAATTAATTCTCTCATCAAAAATAATAATTCCAATAATTTTTTATTAATTAGACTATTTTTATAATTTAATATATTTGTAAATGTCTGTAACATAAAATCATTGTAAATGTTGTAAAACTAATTGTACCATAAAAAAATTTACAAAAAAAAAAAAAAAACAGAGTCTACCAAAGTGAGTAAATATAATTAAGCTAAGTAAGCAAAACTGAAGAAATATTATTCGTACTTGAAAATAGTTTTTCTCATTGGTCGCATAGGCAATGATATTGTAGCTTCCCGAAACATATCTAAACCAGCACGACATATATATATACCAGTTCTATCACAGGCTGTTGATGCTAGTAATAATGGCTGAGTAGATTGGTCAGAACTCATTGGATTATAAGGAACTGGACACCAAGCAAGTGAAACAATATTTCTTTCGTGGTAATGCAATTTATGTAAAAGACGGCCATCACCTAAAAAAAATTTTAATTAATTTTCAGAAAGATTGTAAAAATATTTAAACATACCAGTTAAGTCATATACTAGAGTATGGCCATTTTTACATCCTATAGCAATTAAATTAGTTTTATGGGGACAAGCAGCTAATGTCAAAGGTGACACTTTAACATCTAACGTAAAATTACGCATTGTTAATGCTTCAATATCCCATTTATGTAAAGTTCCTGCATCAGACATTGCTACTACAGTTGAACTTCCGTACAACCAAGCAACATCTAACAAAACAATGTTCTTATTCTTTTTATTCTGAAAGAAAAAAAATTACAAATTGATTAAATTAATTAATATTATTTTGTATACATTTGTTATAATAGGTACTACCTATAAATAAATAAAATTTAATAATGAATGAATAAAAATCTAATGAATAGTCTAAAAAAATTAAATTACTTACTCCAAAAGAATGTATGTGTTCACAGACCATGGTCTTTATATTCCAAATGTAAATATTAACTTCGTCAATAGATGCTATATAATATGCATCTTCTTGGGTATCCGTTGGATGAGAAAATGATACAGCACCAATACGGCCACAAGCTAATTTTGTATTCAATCTAAGACGATTGTATTGCAAATCATAGACACTATTACCTTCTAAGCCTTTAACCAAGACAATAATAGATCTTGAACCATATGCTAGTAAGTTTCCACATCGGTCCATAGTCATGACATTTGATTTGTACCAGTTCAACGACTGGGTAATTTCAAAGGTACTCATGGTTCTATAGTGAAACAATATAACGTTCATTAAACAACAATATTTATTAACATATTATTAAGATAATATAACAATGAAATAAATCATTTCTGTTTTCAAAATATTATTTAATTTAACTGATATATTTATTTAATTCATTATGAGAATTTTTTGCCAACATGACCTATAGTAGAATTTATCAAGAAAAATGTAATCAGTGTTTTACCCGAACTTTTTTCAAAAAGTTGAATTGAATTATATTTTTATACAGTTATTAAGACATCTAAAAATTAAATATTAGAAAAAAAAAAATTGACAAAATTTACCATTTTTAGAATATAAGTTATGGTATTTTAACATTAATTATATAGTTACACTAGGAACGGTAATTAAAGAACAAAGGGTAATAAAGTTGAACTATATGTTATAAAGAAAAACTATGACTGATTTTACTAATGGTTATGGGTACTGAAAAGCTACTATTTTTTTATATGCTCTAAATAATTTTTTTTTAGTATGGATGTATGGAAAAACAAGAAAACATTTAACCAAATATATATAAGTGCAGATATTTTCATGGTATACAAATTTAAAAACTACAAAGGAAGTAAGGAGATATAACAGCAGATAATAATGATCAAATATTGAAGTTAAAAATAAAATTAATTGATATAACATTTTTTATATTTATTTGGGCATTAAATTTTCCCTAATCATTTTACTATGGCATATTTTTACTTAGGGCAGTGTTTCCCAACTTTTGTGCTAAAGTGGTCAATAAATGTCCTTTGTTTCTAGTAGATGACCCTCAAAAAAAAAAAAAACCTATGCTTTAATATAATAATATAATTAATAATTTTATTATAAAGAATTTTATCATACACTTAAATGTAATAATATAGTTCTATAATGATAACTAAAATATTTTCCTTGTCATTAGTTTACGAAGTCACCAATCAAAATAGATTGCAACCCATAGGATGGAAAACACTGACCTAGGGGAATCATTTAACAAGCAAAGTAATGGGGGGTAATACGTCTTAAAAAAAAGAAATGGAAATATTGAAAATCGCTACCATCGTCGATTTCAGTCAGGACAGAAAGCAAATCTGGGCAACAACCAAAGTGTTTGAACGATCATGGGTGATTTAAGTATAATTTGTACTATGACTAAACGTGAAGGATTTGATTCTGAAACTTATCGACAAACCTTTTTGACGGATGGGTTTTTCGAGCAAAACGGTACAAGAGATGACTGTTGTTTTCAAAGTCCACTGAAGAACAAAACCGCACAACAATCGGCTTCGGAAGGCCGTTGATGGGTAAACACGAAAGTACGGAAAAAGCGAATCCAAGGATTCAAACGATTGTTACAACAGCAACCGGCGTTATCACGTGAGTGCGCTTCGGACCCATTATATTTTTTATCTCCGCGGCGGCGTGTGAGCACGGTATTACCGTGCGTTCGTGCGTACGGTAATTTGGCGCCGGTGCGCGAGCACGGTGGCAGTCACGTTGTTGCACTTGCCGTTTGCGCCTGGCACCTTTTTGTTCAGTGCGCCATCTTGTTCGCGTGTGACGGCTGTGTTGACGACTGCTGGCCGTTTAAGGGGCTCTCGCGCCGCGCAACAGTGTCCGTCTCGTTGCATTTCCCGTGTCAGACCATCGTTCCTTGACTATAAAGAAGAACTTCTGCGACTACTGAAGAACTTCCACGACACGCCGGACACGAATCGAGGTGAGTGCGCAGAATCCGTCGCAATGGCGATCGTTTTATTTACGCGTCGTGTCCAAGGACCGTTTCGGTGCGTCGGGCGGTGTATGCAATTAGGCGTACACGCACGCACACACCGAAGTATGACGGTTTTTTATTTTTTTTTTTATTTACTTTTTATTATTCATTAGGCCTATCGTATAGGCAACGTACGCGGACGTACGTGACGTTATCGGAGAGACACCCGTGTCTGATATGTTGCATTCCCACGTATCTCTGAAAGCGTTAGCCGTTTATCCCTAGCATTCCCGATTTTCGTTGGATTTTTCCACACCCGTGTTCCTGTACATTCATTCGACATGGCGCGCGTACGCCCTATGGATTGCTGTCATGACCGTCGTTGGATCTGATTGTTCCTAAACCGCGTTTTTTGCCTCTTCAATATTGTTTTCAACGACTTTTATCAATGGTTTTCCCTTTGATCTTTTGTTTACCGTTATATTTTACAAAAAAAAAAAAATATCTAATCACTGTCGTGAACGGAGAAGAACGTGTGTTACATAATAGATTTTTCGAATTGTTGTATTGTATATTGCTTCTGACGTTTAAACAATTGTTTAGAACCATAATATTTGCGATTTATTAAAATTATATTAAGAAAAGACGAAAATCATTATATTATTAGTATTACTTAAAATATGACTGGTCCATTATCATAGTACTGTTGTCGGCATCCTTATATATCCTATAGTCATAGGTGTTATTAGAATATTGGAAAACTTATTTAATTTAGTATTTATATGTTATCAATTAAGCTTAATGCTTTTAAAAAGTATTTATTGAATCTAATTTACCTATTGGCTTACTCTTCTAATAATTTTATTTTTTATATTAAAATAGAATGTAATGCATCAGTTCATTCAGTATTATTATTTTGGTTTTGTGTTGCGATAATAATATTTCAATACCTACATTTAATCCAAACTGTGTTCTAGTTAAAAGTATATAAGAAATGTATTTATACTTGAATCATGTTGGTAATATAGTGATTTACTCAACTAGATAAATTAAATGTATGACTATAAGCCTTGAATTATTTTCAATACATTCTCATTTAAACAAATAAACTCAATAGATAGTAGTATTGGTTTATCAGAATATTTTATTATTTAAGTTGGATGGTCTTATAAGATAATCATATTAAATCAAAGCAAATTATAACTTAATTAAATAAAAGAAAATTACTTACAACATTTCAATATGTTGATTCTTTAAAAATAATAACAATCTACTTTATAATTCTTGTTTATATTAAAATATGATTGGTGAATATTATTATTTAATCACTTAATTTATATTAATTTTGTAGGTTAAACTATGGAAACACCACCAAGAAAACGTGGTCGTCCACGAGTAATCAAAGTTGAAAAACACAGCCCTAAACCTGAAGATTTAGAAGAAATATTGCAAGATATTGATGATGAAGCTCTTAATGATTTTGATTACATTCCAAATGGAATGCCGGACTACATACTTGTCAAAAATAAAAAAAATATCAATAATAATGAAGATGTTTATGACTTTGATGTTGAGAAGGAAGATGGTCCCGGAATAAGTAATTTAATAATCATATTTGTTTATAAATATAATATCTATATTTTTGTATGAATTAATGAACATTTTTATTTTTATTATGTTAGAAGAAAATTTAAAAACAGAAGAAAAACTTGAATCAGAACAGCTAGAACATGCTTGTGATATATGTCCAAGAACATTTAAAACACTTCCTGGCTTAAAAAGACATAAAACTTCACATGATCGCAAACCTCAGGCAAAAAAAAGGTAATAACTAATGAGTTAATTTATATTTATATAAAACTTTAATTTTTTTGAGTATTTATTTTTTATAATTTTAGTCCGCAGTGATGAATCAATGAAAAAAGAAATGCTTAGTTGTGACTGTTGTGGTGAAGACTTAGCTACTGCTCATACGGTTTGAAAAGCATAAAATTAATATAATTAAGAAACCAACTATAAATATTTTTATGTTTTAGAATGGTGATTTTGAATGTTATGACTGTGGAAACTTTTTCAAATTAAAAGCTAATATGGAACGCCATCAACTAATGGTACATTGCTATGATGATGTTTTAAACTGTCCAAGTTGTGATTTTAATTGTACCGACAAAGAAACTTTATCTGAACATTTGTATTCTCATTCAGGTAAATTTCACTAATTATCATAATGGTTTACATATGTATTTATTTTTTAAATATATTTATCATTATCAGGAACATCAAAGCCCTATTCATGTCCTGTTTGTTTCACATCATTTAGTAGAAAATATCATCTTGTACGTCACAATATGCAAACTGGTTGTGATGGTTCTGAAAAACCAAAATTTCCATGTCAAGTAATTACTTAATTAATTAAATAATATTAAGCATATTATTAATGTGTATTTATAAATGTAGGTCTGTGGAAAAGTTTTTAATCGAAAAGATAATCTAAGAGAACACTTGCGTGCCCATGCTGGTCAAACTAAAAAGAAGCGCACTTATAATTGTGAATACTGCAATAAGGAGTTTGTTGGTTCAGCATTGTTAACTGTCCATAGAAGAAGTCACTTAGGTTAATATTTAAATATTTTTATTTCTTTATTCAAGTTATTTTTCTTATTTTATGTATGTTTATGCTAACATGAATACTGTAGGATTCCAATCAAAGGTAAAATTATTTTGTTCATCAGTGTGTGTTTTGTGTTATGTTTATTTTGTGTATAAAATATATGTTGAAAATTAAAATATATTTATTGTTTTATTTAGGTTATAGACCATATCAATGTGATTTATGTCCAAAACGCTTTCCATCCAGTGGAGCCATGAAAAAACATCGTAGAATTCACACTGGTGAACGACCCTATGAATGCCAGCAGGTATAATTTGATTTTAAATCTTTGTATTGGATGTTTTCTTATATTAATATTTTTTCAGTGTTTTGCTAAATTTGCGGCCAAGGAAACTTTAAACCGTCATATCAAAACACATACTGCACTTAAACCACATTCTTGTGAATTTTGTGGAAAAACTTTTATACAAATTTCACAACTGAGAGCCCATTTATTCCATCATACAGGTATGTAATATATATCTTCTAATCAGCTTATTGGACTATGTAAATCCATCGCTGTTACCACTATTTCCTTCTATTAGTTCCTATCGTTCGCATCCTCCATTTTCATGTTTTCATGAATCATTCTTAAATTTTTTATTATGTTCTTCCATTTTATTCAAGGTTTTCCTAAAGATCTTTTCCTCCACAATTTTTCCTCCTGTTCTCCGAACATGTCCAGCCCACTCATTTCACTTGCCTCTGCTATATGACAGGATATTAGGTCTTCCATACAAATGTTGTAAGTCATAATAGTGTTTTCTTTCATACATTCTCACTTCCATATTATAAACATAGTCAAATATTTTTTTCAAGTACTTTTTTTTCTGTTTTACTTAATTTAGAATAGTTACCTTTTGTAGTAGCCCACGATTTACACCCATATGTCAAAACTGGTCTTGTGTTACCTTCGATTCTCTCGATAACAGTTTTGACATGAATAATTTGAATAGTGATTGATATCCGCATCTGCACTTCTGTAACTTCTCATGTTACTTATATAACTCATATGTTTTTTACTAATCATTACATAATCTATTTGATTTTTGGAGATATCCATGTGTGCTTGTGTTTATTCTTCTGGGGGAATAAATACTACTGATCACTAACTCTTTTGACATTGCTGTGTTTGTTAACTGTGTTCCGTTGTCGTTACTATTTTCATGAAGACTGTCTTTACCTATTGTTGGTCTATACACAATTTGCCGGCCAACTTTATCATTAAAATACCCTAAAAACATTGTAACAGTATTTAGGTAGTTTATCATAAACTTCTTTCATTTCTTCATAAAATTTGTCTTTTTTCATCTTTCTCTCTTCAGTTGGACCATAACAAGATATTACTGCAATATTGAAAAAAATTTCCCTTTAAGTGTATACATCATTCTGTCATTTACTGGTTCAGACTCCTATGGGGTAGTAAGTGTTCATGTACTATGATACCCATACCATTATATATTGTTTCTTTTATTATGCCATCTATTCTTGTAATGGACCCAGTATGTTTAAAGTTCCAACGTTCCATGATCCCAATTTAATTCCGTTCCCTAGTTCCAGTTGTTTATCCATTTTATCTGTCCAGATCCAATGCTTGATTTTTGGTGGTTTCTTAACTAAGACATTTTTTCCACTGAATGGGGGGTTGGCCAATCATAGTAACCCCCAACTTGAAGGACCAGATGACTCCAGCCACTTAAGGCCAGAGTGATTGCTATTTCAGCATCCAAAGGATACTGGGCAATGGGAGTGCCAATTTTCTTACACTGAAATGTAATGTGTATATATAAACATATATACATAAATTCTCTAATTTTTTTATTAATAAATGCCACTTGTAATAATATACTTAGAAATAATTATTTATTTATTATAAATTGAAAATATATTTTTTTAGTAATCAATACTTATTTTCAGGTGAAAATGGTTTTACTTGTGAAACATGTGGCAAATCTTTTAATCGTCGTTCTCGTTTAACACTCCATATAAGATATGTGCATGAAGGAGCTGAGCCTTTTATGTGCACTGTATGCAACAAAGCTTTATTGCGAAAAGAAGATGTACAGCGGCATCATATTGTTCACTCAGGTGTAAAAGCTCATGCATGTCCTATTTGTGAAAAGCGATTTGCTATGAAATCATCTTTAAAAATTCATTTATTAACACACACTAAGGAACCACCACGTGCATGTGATGAATGTGGTCGTGCATTTATTCGTCAAGATTGCCTTTTACGCCATATGCGTTCTAAACATAGAGATATGTTGGCCGAGATTATGGCTGATGCTGAAAAGAAGAAATTAGAAGCTCAACTATTAGGAATGGTGAAAAAAAATGGTGATGATAAAAATGATGCTGGTGAAAATGTTGATGATGTAGACAAAAATGATAATGAAGATGAAGACGGAAGCATTGACGAATTAGAAGATAATGATAGTACCACTAGTGAAGAATCTAACCAGAATAACACATTGGCTGATTCACTAATGGAATTATTAACAGTACTTGTTGATGAAAGTACACTCAAAGAGTTTGGCTGGCCAGATATGAGTGTTGATCATTTAATTGAATCTGTGATAAAGTATGTACATTTCTCTGTTTAAAAATAAATTATAAAATATTAACCTAATTTTGAAGTTGAACAGTTTCATTATTTTAATGAAATTGTGATTTTTCAATTAAATTTTTTAATTACCACTAAGGATTTTTACTATAACGATCTATGGTCTTTAACAATACATTTCAAAAGTGTACATAATTATTCAATTTATAGAGAAATTTTTATAATTTATATTTTTGTTTGATTTAGGAGATGTGGACACACACCAGTGGCAGCTGATGACGTTTCATATATGACAAGATTGAGAGATAACTCAAAGCAATTATTTTCAATTATTATCGATGATTCAGCTATTCAAACATTACTTAGCAATCAAACTATTGAAGAAGTAATTGAACATGTGTTAAAATTAGCTAAAGCTTAATATACATTCATATCTATATTTATATTAATCATAACATATAATTGGCTACAAATTAAATTTAAAAAAATTTATATTTTAATTTTTTTTTTTTTATATATATATATATATATATATTTATATATTGTATTTGGGTTGTAGTATTATTTTTAATTATCATAAATTAAGTAGCTAGCAATTGTTAAGAATATTATTATGGCAAATGTTATTAGTTAAATCACAGCAAGTGTCCCCATTTATTTTTTACTAAGATTAATTATTGTGAAATAATTCCTAATTTTAATACATTGAACACTATTTTAAGTTTATATTAATAATTAATTTTTGTTAAGTATTAATATTATTTTGTTTTACTTATTCTTAAAATGGATTTTAATTTTCTCTGGTATTAGTTTTTTACTTTATTATACATCTTTATCTTATAAACAGTTAATTGTATAGCATGGATTAAGTTTAATAAATAAATGATTATTTTAAAAAAAAATCTGATGTTACTTATTATTAACTTGACTATTTATTTATTTTTTAAATTTTATTGATTTTATTAATTGGAAATACATATAGTAAATTAATAAGAAAGTCTTATCAAACATATTTTATAAAAATTTACTAAATTATGCAAGATAATATAATATGTAATCCATATAAATATATAATAGTTTACTACTTGTCAGATACCAATTAAAATATTACTATTGGTTTAAAAGTAATACAACTGTACCTCATAAATCATATGTTATGTTCTGTACAATTCTAACAGATGATATAAGTATGGTTGTATATTTAAATTATATTTGGTGTTACTTATATTCTGTTTTCATCAGACTTTGAAATGGTTTTTTATCAACTTTTATGTTGAGTTAGTGAAATAAATTTATCAATTTAATGACTAACATGTACGAGTATTTTTCTATTTGAAATGTCTAAAAGATTGTTGTATTACAAAAAAAATCTTATTGAAGCTAAAATTTCCTTTGGGAGTAGTTTAAATAAAGATAATATTTAATAGTAATTTTTTATGTCAAATTATCTATGATGTACTCGTATATACATTAGAGATTATATAGAATTTAAACCCATAAATTGATAGCAAAAAAAACAATTTAAATAAGTTATGAGTGTACAAAGTAATCGCCGTCCCGCGTATAACAAGCGTGATAGGTAATTACTTAATGTTTCATGGAAATGCAGGGTTTGCAGAAAATACACTCTTATTTTGCTTTATTATTTATATCTATTCCCAACCTTGGTCAGTCATTTCCTCCCATTATTTATAATAATAATATTGTAATGTAGGTTATTGATAATTTTAGAGCACATAACAAGTAGGTAGTTCTTATTAATGTTCCTATTCATATTTAATTACGTACGTCTTTCAATCAATACAAATAATTGAAACGTTTTAAACTACATAATAATATTCAATGTAATAAACAATTCATAGTTTTTGTCAACCGTTTAATCAGAGCCTTCCTAAGGATTCTTAGGGATCGGACAAATTGATTCGGAGGCCCCTCAATCATCACAATAATATACGAGTATGATCAAAAAAATACACCAAGTTTGTAAAGTATTGGTAAATATAATTTTTCAAACCTCAGCCAATCAAGGTCGTTTACACGTATCGATACGAAGAATTACATTTTTAATAACTTATCAAAAATGAATTAACAGTTAACTAAAATTTTGTTTACTCCTAGTCGATTTAAAAACAGTCATAGAAAAAAATAACTTGGATGTTGTAACGTCGATACTTGCGATAACGAATTTCTACGTAAATTTGGATAAAATTGTGTCATTCTTCACACACCGACAATAACCATAATAAATCACAGTTATAACTATTTAGATAATGACTGAAAATGTAGCTTGTACAATAACGCTTAAACATAAATGTTAGTTAATTTTAATTAAATTTATTAATATTTCATAAATAGTTTAGGAATAATATATTAATATCAATAATCTTGGATGGAGAACGCCGAATATTTCTAATCAATCTGGATTTTAAGTGGGTCCTCTTTAAATTATCCTCGACTGCATTAAAATGGTCCCGTTGCCCTTCTCCATGTATTCCTGCGATTAATAATAATAATGTAGCTAGTATATTTTCAGGTGTAATATAGTCAACCCGGGGCTTATTTAGACTTATTTCTAGGGGGAGGGACTCAAATTTTTTCTTTAATTCAGACTCAAAATGTACAAGTCAAATTTTGGTATTATTTAAATTGGGTGAATCCTTGATATTTGTGTTTTTTTTTTTTTTTTTTTTAATCTATTGTCGGGTCTACTTAAAATCGACTTTTATGTAGTTCTTTTTTAACACCTATCTGTATTTTGAAAGTTACCTGTCTTTTATTTGATTTATGTTCTTTTATGTTGTCTTTTATTTGATTTTTCACTAAGTATGGATCCGACAAAAGGCCCAATTCAGTATTCACAGCCACGCGTGAATTATTATATCAATTATATCAATTATAATTATATATCAATTATAAAATGATCCGCATTAAAAAAAATTTGTACTGTGTATTTCACATACTCGTATAATCGATTCCTTAAATACGGATTCAAAGGGAGGGGGTGGCCATTTGCCCCCCCCTAAAATACGCTCCTGTAGTTAACAAAATTATATGTATTAAAAAATAATTATTAATATATAATTAATTTTATTTATAATGTATCCCTGTTTTTGAATATTATGATAAGTTTCAATAATTATTTATCAACTTGTACAAATGTTATTGAATACGTTCAAAACCATTTAAAACGGATTGTTAAAAATATTCCATAAAATGATAAATAATTAAAAAGTACTTGTTTTTAATGTTCAATAATTATTTCAAATAATAATTTGAAAGATTTTGGAGTTCAAGAATATTGTTTATAGGAAAAAATATAATTTTGTTGTTAAAATAAAACGAAAATCGTTCAAAGTCAAGAACAGAAAATTTCATTGTAGCTATATATTATAAATAAGTTATAAATAAATTATGATATGCTTTAGATGTGGTCAGTTAAAAAAAAAAATAGAAATAGACTAAATCTATATATAATGATGAATTTTGAAAATTTTAATTTTAAAATCATGACCAACATTTTTTTTTAGGTTTTTACACTGGCCCACTTCACACGTTCATTTTTATTTTTTATTGATTAGATTTTATTAAAAAAAAAATCTACATTATATAAAAAACATTTAGTACAATAATCTGATTATTTAAATGAATATAAATATGCGTAATAAGAATAATAGAAGTTGGGAAGACACCAAGCAAATTTTAAATTGCCCTAGATATTATCAAAATTACGTATCGTATAAAATATTATACAGATTGTAATTATTCTTAATTTGAAATAAATGGAAAAACAAGGGTAAAAAGATTTAACTGTGTTTGTAAATTATTAATGTTATAATTGTATATTCCTATTGTCACGCAAACTATTTCAACGTTTAAATATACCTTTGAGTAAGAAAACACACGGAAATATAATGTGTGACTAATTAATCGGCATTATAATTATATTTTTACGTTGCCTGATTCTTAAACTATCTATATTTAAATACGTCGCGGTATAAGCTATAATTTTAATTTTCTTCGTTTGAAATATAATCAAAGTATAAAAATTACAATATTGTGCTTCTTGTGTTATCGTCGCTCCGTCAGGTTTGAACGCGGCACAGCAATAACAATATTATTAATAGTAACAAATAACTTTTTGCGAATAATAACAAAAAGTTGTTTAGTTTGAATTTCAAATGTTGAATTGAAATATTTATCGCATTGGTTAGTATCATTCTTATTAAACCTTAATCTCGCTGTTTAGGTCAGTGTTAAACCCATCGCTGCGTTCGCCCAAGTACAAAATTATTACATCGTTTTTGGTACAACTCAAAGAACAGTGATGATTTTTTCAGGTAAAAGTTTATTCGATAGTTTGATTTTCTATGTACCTATCATATATAAGTACGGACCTAAAAAAAATAAAAAACTGTTTAGAATGCAGTTCAACCAGACCGATAAGTAGATAGATTTGTTTCAGTTGTAATTTTATAAAGTATTTTATCATTTTTAATGCAGCAGAAAAAAGAATACCGATTGTTTATTATTTATTCGTAAATTCGTTATCGTATCATTATGTCTGCTTACGTTTTAGCAGTTTTTCTCAACGAGGTGGGAGGATTTCTCTCCAGGTAGGAATTTAGGTACTACGAAGATAGGGAGGGGGGGGAATATGACGAAGGAATTTTGAATATTAAATTTTTTATTAAAACATATAATGTACAAATTTACGATATTTAAAGCCAAAAACAATTTTAAAAAAGATATATCGATGAATTCTGTATTTCTGAATTCTTTTATTATTGTTTCTGATGATAGCCGTCAAAGAACAAGGTTATTAGCTTTGTGTAAATTGTTAGGAGTGGAGCGTCAAATAAAAAAAGATTGAGAACCACCGTATACGTTATTTCAAATGGATTTTGATATTTTGGAATCTGGCCTGGAAACCCTGAGCACAGATACAACCATTGAACTTCATTTATTTATCGAAATGTTAGCATTGATCTACGTACACTGCCACACAGATCATTCAACAATTTATAAGGGATCAAACTTATTTATGTAAATACATATACATATAACTTGTCCACGAGATAACTAACCGGTCGAGTGCGTGAAACAAGTTTCTGTACAACGCACGGGTGAAAAATAAACGAGCATATCGTTTTATTCTCAAACCGATTATTTGCACCGATCTATCGGTTTAAAGTTGTTCACGATTCAATATAGGCATAGACGTGCGGCAGATCTGTACTTCATGGGGTACCTACTACAGAGGTGGAACTAGGAATTTTTTACGGTCAGGTAAAATATTAAAATTATGCCCTATCTCAGACCAATAATTAAATACTCTTCTCGAGAATTGTTTTCTAATAATTAATATACATTTATACTTATTGAGCTTTAACCTACTAACAATATTTAACAAAGTTAAAAATATCAAACTAGTCTTTAATAACGACAAGAATTACACCCTCTAAAATTGTACGTCCTATCCTTTCACGCCCTACTTCCACCCCGGGCCTACTATACTCTTGGGTCCTGTCTTAAAAAAAAAACGTGTAGGTGTGTTTAATAAACTCAAACACATAAACAATTGAATAAACATAAGTTTGATTTTTTTATTCAGCATTGTGATGTATTAGTACGAGTGTTGATTTACGCGCGCCGTTGGATTTTTCCAGTGACGCCGCGTGCAAAACGACAACGACGACGACGACGACGACGGGACACGACATGCCGGGCGAGGAGAACAGGTTAGCGATCGACCTGACCGTGTTCAAACTGATCGGCATGTACCAGATGGTGGACCCGGACAGCCCGAAGGTGTGCGGCCGCAACGTGTACGCCTCGGTCAACGTGGCGCTGATCGTGTGCACGACGGCGATGACGGTGCTCAGCACGTGCGGGTTCTTCTCCGGCGTGCGCGACACGTTCCGCAACAACGATTTCGACGTGGTGCTGATACTGTTCTACTACGTGTGCATCGGCGTGGGCAACTACAAGACGACGGTGCTCGTGCTGAACGCGGCCGAGGTCTGGACCCTGTTCGGGGTGGCGCGCGTCTCGTTCCTGGGCAACCGGTACTGCACGGGCAACCGTCGCCGGATGGCCGACCGCGGCGCCTCGCTGTCCCGGTTCTTCGCGTGGTACCTGGCCCTGATCGTCGTCACGCTCACGTCGTACGCGATCATACCGTTGGTGACGAACCACCGGTACGCGGGCCCGACGTCGGCGCCCGGTGGCGGCGCGTACCGCAAGAGCAACGTCATCAACCTCCGGTACCCGTTCGCCGCGGACACGTACAACACGTACTACCCGGCGTTCTACGCGATGGAATGCGCGCTAGCCTTCTACACGGGGTACGGCACGTTCGCGTTCGACCTGTTCGCGTTGACCACCATGTACTTCGTGTCCGTCCAGTACGAGCTGCTCGCGTCCGCGTTCCGGGCGCTGGAACGCGGCGCCGACACCGGCACCGTCGACGGTACGATTGCACTTCGCGGTTCGAGTTGTGCGCGCCATCCACGCGTTTCATTTGCACGCCTATAATGCTTCCTCGATTTTTGTCGTCATAAATCACCGGTTCCGTCGGGTTCGACTGTGCCCGTCAGACGCAAGGCCGGCCCGACCGAAAATAGTGCACCAGGCGAAATCAAATTTTGTCGCTTCTAAAAAAAAAAAAAAAGTACTACTTGTGACCATGGTTTAAACGTTTACAAGGTTTAATTATTTCACCGGTGTGTACCGAATAATTTTTTAATGTTTTCGTTCGCTTATCGAGATGTCGAATCGACGACTTTCGTCGTAATGTAGACACGTCGAAATTGCACGCGTCAGAATGTCGTACATAATAAGTTCGTCCGTTCGACGGTCACGGGGTTGTATAATGGATACGATATGTAAATGTTTAAATTTTCATCTAGTTTTTGCCGTGAAACGTTGTTGCGAGGCGATTGAGATAGCCCCAGATGTTTGCACGGAAACTCGTTATGTTCACCTATCGTTTTGTAAATTGGAAAACCATCAAGGTTATAAAATTGATAATGTAACGTGTAATTGGAGTAAAACGAATGTTAAGGAGATGATTTAAAACTGGAATGCGTGAACGGAAGGAGGAGTCGTCTATTGGGAAGAAAAGATGGTCAGTTGAAGGTTATGTGTTCGAAGTAGTGAACTGTTGGTTCGTACCAGGTGTACAGGGGACGGGAACGAATCTAGGGAAACCTTGAAAGAACGGTATGGAAGCATTATAATACTGTATAATGAATTTCTGGAATAACTGTGGTAATGTGATTACACTTTTATCCAGCAAGGTTTCTCGGCCTTCAAATTACACTCAGTTTTATGTTTGTTTTGACTAGGATACAAAAAACGTAACTGGTCAATATTTTTATAAGTGCTAAAGGGCATGGTATGGAGTCGCACCATTTTGATTGCACATTATATAAATAGTTGGCCTAGATGTTAATCGATGATTTTGAGTTTGACCTTAGACTTAAAGCATAAATATTCAATTTTTTTTTCTTAAAAAAAATACTCCCGACTACATTATATTTCAACGATTTCCAAAGGTATTATTTATTTTTGAGTCAAAGAGAAATTCTAGAATATACTGTTCAAAAAATGTATGTATAAAGAGAAAATTGTTTAACAATTGGCCTGGTCAAGGGAGTGGTGAAAGACATTGGCCTCCAGTAGCGGCGCGTTGCGGATTTCATTGAATCAGTTGCTTCATGCCTGAAATTGACAATGTTGCACAACAGAAAAGTTTAATGATTCTATTTAATTTATGAAATATTTTCTATATTTTATTTTGACATTATTTTATAATTAATTGTTTGACGAACATTAAGGTTTTCAATTGTTCAAACCTTTCCATCGATGTATTTATTCTCAACATTTAAACATCAGAAAAACGTCGTAAGTCATCTTTAGGACTTATTTTCATATATTGGTATACAATATTACGAGGAAGTTAAATATAATTTTAATGGTTATTTCTAAAATTGTTCTTATAAAGCTGTTCTGCAAAACCAAACAATGGCAATATTACGTTTCAATAGTTCTACCTATGTTTAGTAAAAAAAAAAAAAAAATTGTGTAGAACTTTTGGGGTTTAAATTTACTCTCCGAAGAAAAGAAAACCCACTTATATCCAAGCATACAGCATTTCACACGGAATCTAAAAAAAAAAAAAAATCAAAAAAGAAAATTTAACATTCTTATTTCTTCATTTATCCCTCAAACACGTTACTATTAATACTATAGAACTAGATAATAAGTTAACATAATATAAACGTTATACTACTATTGTATAATTAAAAATATTGAACAAATTATGATTTTAGATTGTTCATTATTGAACGAGGAAGAGCTTCAAGAACATTTGTTATCACTTATTTCAGATTGCCAAACCATTTATAAGTGAATATACACATTGTAAACACATATTTTTATTTAAAATGCAATTCTTAATTGGCCTGTATTAATGTATTCGCATATAAAATATATCTATTAATGATCAACTGAATATTTTGCACTTTATCAAATTTATTTAGGTATTAGGTATTTGTTAGTTACACAATTAGTTAATTCAATCATACTAATTTTAATGCGAAAAGTAAGTAATAAACTTTTTAGAATTTAATCAAACATTTTATTTGAAACTGTTATGCTACAAGTAACTTGATATTTTTCAAATATTTATTATGTAGTTAAAGTTACTACTTCTTGATTATTTAATTAGTATTACGAATACAAATTTTAAATAAATGCGATTAATTCAATCAAGTATTTTTTAAATGTGAAAAACTCGTATTAGAAATTATCATATTTAATTTAATAATTCTTTTAAAATTATTTTATGTTTGTAAATGAAAATTTAAAGGCTAATATATATTATTAAATAAATCATAATTTTCAACATCATAATTATAATATCGATTATCTTAGAATAAAATAATATTCCATAGTATTTTCATATCTTTACAATAAAGATGAACGAAAAAAATTTAATGTGTATAATTTTCAGACATTTAAAAAAATTTTATGATATTTCACGTCCAATTGGTCTTATACAAGTATTAGGAGATGCATCGGGAATGATATGCATGCCTTATCTTATTGTATTGGTAAGTTTTGGTGGTCGAATGAGATCTCAAAAAAATTACAATTTTAAAGCCAAAAACAAATGTTGTGATTTTATTATTTACGTACTGACTATATATTATTTTACCAGTGCGTTCAAAAAAACGGATCAGTTTTTAATACGGAAACGATTAGATTCGTGTTCACTTTGGGAATCGCTGGACTACAGTCGTACATGTATTGCAATTTATTTCAACTTGTATCCGATAAAGTAATGTATTTCAGAAAAATATAATAATAATAACAATAATAATAATTATAATTTCTAAAGATCTTCCATCGTTTTCAGAAAGAAGCAATCAATTTTGCTATTTATAGTTGTGACTGGACAAGAATGAATATTCGTATAAAAAAGCTCATTTTATTGTTGATGCGCATGAACACCGCTTGCGATAACTTAAAACTGAAAGTTACACCGTCGAAAAATATCGATCTACCGATGCTTGCAAATGTAAGATTCATACAAAAATCTTGATACTATACGCCTAATATTGTACAATCATATATATTTATATATTTTATTTCAGGTAATCCGATCGTCCTATAGTATATTGTCGGTTATTATAAACAGGAAAAATTAAAAATGGATAATGTGTACCACAATACATTGCATAACAGTTTAGCGCCAGCCGTTTCAGCCATCATCACATATGATATTGCATTATGATATTGCACGCGTGTCTTGTGCTCTGTTATCGTTTGTGTTAAATATAATTTTAATAATAATAGTCACAAAAATGTATTCATTAATAGATTTCATAAAATTTTAAAATATATTGGTATGTTAAAGGTAATATCGAATATCATGTAATTACATAAATAAAACCTTATATTTGTACAAATTAAAAATATGTATGAAATTATTTAATAAAAATACTTGATAACAATAAAAACACTGAGAGAAAAACCATATTATAAATAAGAATGAAACTCTCCAGTAGTCTCCATGAAGGTCGTATTTAGACAGCATGTATATACATATATACATATATGTTTACGTGACTTAATATACGAGTTTACATTTTCAATTTTAAACAACCATTCTGTACTTTATTAGTTGAGTTTTTAATTTTAAAATATATTATGCTTAATTAATCATTTCAACTTATTGTCCATACATACTTTTATATTTTGTTTCAACTCTGTTATGTAGACTTACATAATATACTTATACAAAATATTCAAAAACCTCAAATCAAATAAAAGTTAAAAAAAAAAAAAAAACGAAATATGTAATATTCAGGAATTTTTGTATAATATTATTAGCTGAATTATTCAGACTTGCCAAGGAAATATTTTTTCTATTATTAAAAGAGATAACTTAAAAATGTAGATTGAAAAAAAAACATAATCGTCATATATTTAAATAATAGTTATTATTCATTTATACTATATTAATTTAAATTTAAATTATAATTAATTTTAAATAATTTTAATTTGCCAATGTTGCACTCTATATATATATAGATACCGAACCCTTATTAGACCCGTATTATGCTATAAAGCCGAAACTTAAATATTATTAAAAGCGCATTGCAACAAATTAAAAATATTTTAAAGAAAAGTGATAAGAAAATTATAGGGTGCGATGTTTAAAGAAGAGTGTTAGAGAATAAGAAGTAACAACAAAATACAAAAAATTTTAGAAAAGGAAAGTATGATAAGATTTATTAACACAGGAAGAATAAGATGGTTTGGTAACGTACAAAAAATGAACAAGGAAAGAATGACTAAACGAATAATGGATGCAAGAATGGAAGGAACAAGAAGACATCACCGACCAAGAAGTAAACGATTGGATGAAGTAAAGAAAGATCGACAGCTTATGGGTATACAGAAATAAAGAAATATTACTAAAGACCGAGACGAGTGGATTATCATTTTGGAAACGCTGTAGCGCTTTGGAGTAGTATAATGTTAATTTACATATGGTGGTCAGAATATTGGTACGGTCTATAGAATTTATTACAAAAGAAACCTTAGATAATTCGAAACTTTTGGTAATTCAATGTAATTTCTCGTTTCCTTAAAAATATGGCAGTAATTCAAATAAACACAATGCATTTAAGTAAATTCAGTAATTCAAAGTAAAATTTCAGAGAAAATTAGCCACCAACACGCGGAAATTAGAAATTTTGTCCACTCAATGCTCGAAAATTCAAAATGTATTCACCAAATTTATTATAATCTTATCGTTTATAATTTACTATATAATTGTGTGTACGTTTGGCTTGTTACTTCCAATAAATATCGATCTATTATTGTAAGTACAATTAGATACATAAAATAATAAAATGCAAGTATAAATACAATTAGATACATATACGTGCATTTTATTTCTTAGTCATATCTTATCGTATTTGAATTTGTCGAAAGCCCATTGCAGTTTTATTTTAGTTTCGTTTCGTCGGTTGCAAAGTAAAGTTCTTTGATGAGTGAGTTTAATTCTAATAAATGTAAGTCTTTAATATTTTCGCAGAAAAAACAATTAATTGAAGCTGTGCAAAGAGGTAACAAAAAATCTGATAAGTCTAAGACATTTAAAATTTTTTAAGTACGCTGTCTACAATTTTAAAGGATAAAAATAAAATTGTTGTAGGAAACGTAACAGTAAAGATAAGCACCTGAGACTAGAAGAATGCGTAGTACAATTGGTTAAGCAATGCAGAGGGCAAAATGTGTCGATGAGTGGTTTCTTACTAAAAGAAAAAGCAAAATCATTCATCAAAGAGTAAGGCATCTTATTTTTCTCAACTAGTGGTTAACAAATTTTAAGAAAAGAAACGACATTGTTTTCAAAAAAATACGTCAATGTGGATGAAGATGTTGCTATCTAACGCCGAGATTTTAATCCATACATTAAATATTGATAAAACGTTGAAGACGAAACAGAACTTCTACCTCTTGTAATTTTGCAAGTAGCGAATTCATCATTGAAAAAATTACCTAAATTTCGCTCCAGTCAGCAGTAGGTGTCGAGGTTTTCGAAGCTTTGTTTACTTTATAAAATAGTATTGAACAAATTAAACTAAGTTCAATGAAGCAGAAACCAATTACAGCATTTTTCGAAAAACAATAATGTTAATTATATATATTTAATTCAAAAAATTTTTCCACGCAGATGTACAAAACGATTGATTCGATTTAATATGATAATTTTTGGTCGCGAACGAGACGTGAAAAAATTAAATATTACAGCTGATAACAATAAATACATTTCAAAGACGAGTTATAAGTATTGCGATGATCCCGGTAATTTAAAAATTATATAATGGCGGTGAAATCTAATCAAATACAAATTAATCGATTTGAACATAAAACTGTTTAAAATTGTTCATAAATACAAAAGTGAACTCATAAAGAAGAATAACAGACTCCAAAAAGGTAGAATATGAATTTTTATTTACATAGACGTTTAGGATTTGCATACCTTGCGCCCCCCCTCGCTATGCCTATGCCCTTTCATATTGCACATCAAAAGTATTACATTAGGTTAAATAGGTTCAATTGAAAAATTACCTTGTCAAATTTTAAGTTCATACGTTTTTCATATTTTGAGATCTGTGTAAATAAGTGGAATTATATGTATAGATTAAGATTTTATATAATTATTATGAAACATGTACACATATAATCAAGTTTATATAATATATATTATATTATGGTACCATTAGGTTTTCTCCATAATATAACCAAGCAAAATGGTAGTTTCAAATATGATTAAATATTTAGTATTTATTATTATTTATATTTTATATACATTTTATGATTATTAAATGATTAATATTAAAACGGATTAGTAAGTAAATAAAACTATTAAATGTCAAAAACGACCCAAATACGGTTAGATAATTATGTTTATATAACCCAAAATTCAGAATATATTATTATGAAAAATATAAATGGTCAATGGAACCAAAATATTAATCTTGTCAATTGCTTATGTATGGTGACCGTTTTGCTTATAATATTATTATTGTTTTCAAACATCGATAGTCACGCTATAACGGTAAACATACAGCTCAAGGTATATCAACATTATTTATGTTTGGCATAGACTCTCGGGACGTAAATGTGTTCAGGCTTCACATGATGAAAATTGCACTCACGCATTCATTTATATGGTCTTGTATATGCCTTACAAGTTCTTAGTTGTGTCACGATTTTTCAAATTCATCAATAATGTCTTAAATTTGAAACTAAAACTGTAACTCAAAGACAATATTTCTTTTATTGTACGTTCAAGCATACAGATCTATGATAAACCGCGTAGCTGGTGGATTTAAAAGAAAATTACTTGATTACTTAATATAATATTGGAAGGTAATTATTATTTTTGTCAAAAATCATGGAAATGCGTGCAAGTATAACGGTTTTAATAAAATATTTTACTATATTTTTTGAATATATATTTGTAAAGTATAGTATTCAACTATATTACATTAATTAATCAAATTAAGGTATATGCAAGGTCTCCGTGGAATTATAGAGACTTTTCCGTCTGACATTTCCCGTCCTATTCATTTTTTATGATATGATGTTATGTATTATTTTTGGGTGTTATAGATTCATTAAAATAAGTTCTATTGGTATGACGTCTCGTTGGGTGGATGACTTAATGTATTTTCGTCTTAGTTAACTGCTATCCCACCCTATCAAATAGTAACTTATTGAGGCTAACTTAACTTATTGAATAGTTATTATTGTTATTATTAATATTATTAATAATCATTTACACCGGGCGGCAGTCAACTATAGTACAATGCATGGATACAAAGGGGCCTATTCTTAATTTACTTTTCGTAATTTTTTTTTATGCTTTTCGTATAACATTCGATGCGTTCATATTTTTACGGTCTTAATACTAACAAATGGGACTATTTTTAAGCTCATATAAACCGAGAGTCCGCGTACAAAAAATAAATTATTAGCAGTCGAACATAATACCTATATTATTATATTAAATATTAATGTAATATATTTTAATCTTGTTAGTGCATTGCGACAAGTATAATTTATTTTCACCACTACTTTCCAAAAGAAGGAAATATGGATTTCGTAAAATAGTTTTAAAACAGTCAGATGTTCGAACTGATTAAGGCGGCAAAATGCCCCCCCCCCAAAAAAAAAAAAAAAAAAATGGCACAGAACTCTTTATTTGTGTACGTAATTATATAAAAAATCGCGTATACTTTCTTATTACTCTATTGTTAGTAGGTACTCACGGTTAATTCTCATTTTTTTTTCTCATAATGTGCTCGAATTATGATCTAGTAATCATTGTACTTAATCAATATCATTCGTAAATTTACCCGCCCCTGGATGGTTTTTTTTTTGTTTAACGTGCGACGGGTGTGTTCCGTGTTCCAGCCACAACCGGTGCGGGTGACCGATGGACAAGACAGGCGGGGAGAGAAGATACGCGATCGACATGAAGCTGTTCAAGTTCACCGGTTTCTATCACATGGTGAACCCGAACGGTCGGAAACTGTTCAACCGGAACGTGTACAACGTGGTGCACGTGACGTTGGTGGTGGTGACTAGCGCCATCACCGCGCTGGGGACACCAGGCGTGCTGTTCAGGACCGACCGGTCGATCGAGAACAGTTTCAAAGACATGCCGTCGCTGTTCTTCGTCGCGTGCATCACCGTCGGCAACCTGAAAATAATCGCGATCGTCCGTCACGCCGACGAGCTATGGTCGCTGTTCGACGTGGCCGACGTGTCGTTCCTGTCAAGCTCGCAGTGCCGGGCGCAGGACCGCAAGCTGGTGGACTGCGGCAGCCGGTACCGGAAGATATTCCCGTGGTACTCCTTCTTGTTCCTGATGACCGGCTTCTCGTGGATAACCATGCCCATTATCGTGAACCGTCACTACGCCGCCGCCGAACACGTTCCCAAGTTCAACGTGGTGAACCTGCGGTACCCCGTGTCCGCGGAAACGTACAACGCGTTCTACGGCGCGTTGTACGTGATGGAAAGCGTGATGTGCGGCTACGGCGCTATCGGGCTGGTGGTGTTCGACCTGTTCTTGATCGCTATACTCCAAGTGGTATCCATCCAGTATGAGATCATATCGTCGGCATTCGAGAAATTGCGGTTCGGAGCCGACGACGGGACGAACGGTGAGCCTATGCCGTTTCGGACCGAAACGATCGCGTCGCTAAGGCCCGCAACTTCGGGGTAGAGATGTCTACGGTGGTTCCCGGAAGGTCGCGAAAACGATTGCACAGGTCGACGTGTTATGTATTTTACATTTGGTTCGTTCAATTTCCGTTTACGATGGTGAACATCGCGGTGCTGTACGACCGCGCAGTTGGACGGTTTACGTGTGATCCTCTGCGGGCCGTGGATGGCAATGTTTTCCGACGTCACGCGGCGAAATAATAAAATAATCGTTTTTCTCTTCTTCTTGCGTTAAGATCAAGTTTTAATGTACACATTTACGATATTTATCTGTTTAAATGTGTTTAACGAATTGACATTTAGTAAAAAAAAAAAAAAAAAACAATGATCAGTTCAAGAAAATAATATGTTTACGAATTCGCACGATTTTCGTGTTAGTACACTTTATGCTTGTTCGTTTACCCGGATTAGAATTTGTGAATTTTAATAAACTACATGTGATACTGCAACTGCGATTGACCGTCGATCGGTTGAGATTCGACAAGAGCGATTTTCTTGAATAAATTGGTGAAAAAATGTACAAAATAGCAAATTACACTAATTTTTAAGTGTTACGTTTTGAGGCTTTATTGTTTATTGTTAAAAATTAAGTGTAATTCAATACATATTTACATTTTTCGCGTGCCTCTTCGGACCCGTGCCATGGATTTCCATTACTTTCATAGAATGGCTAACTAAAAGTTTTACAGTAATTTGATTTCATACTAAAGTTTTCTAAATATAATTTTACAAATAAAACAGATTTACAAATCTTCTAATTCTAATTTGAACTGTAAAAATTCAATATCGAAAAACAATTTATGGATACATTTTAATATTTAATAGCAAACACATTCTCAACTGTTCAATTACTGGTTTGTTATCACACTCGTGTTATTTGAATTGTTGCTAATTCTTATTTTGTAATATGGAAAATATTTTATGTTTTCTAGAATTAATTTGATAAATTTTGAAGGAAAACGGTGAAATTGCAAAAAAAGAAAATTAAAAAAAAAAATATTTAATGTTTAATAAACTAGAAAAAATTATTCAATAATTTTCAGGCGATAAACTTGAAGATCTCGGCAACGACACTGAAGATGATTTTCGATCAATTATATTAGATAGCCAAAAATTGTACAAGTAATATTATTATTAAGTTAATAATTATATAATATTTTATGCGACAGTATCCATATTAAATTTAATCAAACATCGAGGAAAATAAATTATAAGCTGATCGAATTTTGATTGACAAATTGTATTAAAAAAACCAGTGAATAAAATAATTTTTTAAATAATGCATAACACTATTTTTATCCTAATTTATTGCTTGTAAGCTTTAATTAATACGTGTGACTATAATATGATAGCAAAAAATTTTCAGTATTTGTGTGTGCATATAACTGTAATCACTTATGAGCAGAGCTGGGATTCTTTAACATTTTCTGATTATTATAGAATACAGATTATTAAAGTAGCTAAGTAAACTTTATATTTATTTGATGTTACAAAGATTTTAAATCTAAAGTTTTTTTGCTACATATTGTTACACATCATAGAATTTAAGTTTTCTAGTGTTAATTTTTCTGGATGATATTTGTTTGTAATTTAATTTATAATACATCAACGTCTGAGATCAAATGTTATAATGCCATCAAATCCTAACCCTAGTTTTGGCTCGTACTATTTTATGAGTCTTGCATTTATAGTCATTGTACATATGTTGAATATTGACCCAAAGGTTATGTTTTAGAAAATTGGAGATAATCTATCGAATCTCGCGGCCAATCACGTTGATTTATATGGTTGGAGATGCAGTAGGAATGATTACCATGCCTTATTCAATCGTTTTGGTAAGATGATTAATATTATTTACACAAGAAAAAAATGTATGACTTAGCGTCCACGATTATTATTACCGTCAATGCATAGACTTATTAACCTATTATTATTTAGTTAATAGTTATATGCTCCTTTAAAATAATTATTTGATGCACGTAACGATAACAATATTATATGTTAACGGGTTTAGTGTTATTTCAAACACGGATCGTCTATTTTTAACACCGATGTTTTGACTTTTGTATGGACCTTGAGCGTTGCCTATATTCAATCGTACATATACTGTAGTTTATTTCAAGGCATAACCGAAAAAGTAAGACTTGCAGTAATTAGCAGTATTATACTCGTAAGTACTGTTTTTGATTTTTAATACTAACATATACAATAATGTTATTAGAAAGAAGCTGTGAGTTTTGGATTGTACTGCTGCGACTGGACACGGTTAAACGTCCGGACCAAAAAACTCGTACTGTTAGCGATGCAGGTGAACAGTTCGAATAACTTGAAAATGAAAGCCACGCCAGCGAAATTTGTTGACCTACCGATGCTTTCAGTTGTATGCATTGAAATTAAATCATAATCGTACAACGATTTGCTTTAAAACCGATATTGTCACGTTATTATTTTTTCCAGATAGCGCGAACTTCGTACAACATAACGTCTGTATTGATCAATAAAAATATAGACAAAATAAGGCAATCTCAATGGTGATGAAATGTTTCGTATAATAATGAATAATGAATGTATTAAGATTCAATTTAACAAATCCTGTCAAGATAAATAGTTTTATGATTAGTTAATATCTACAACCGTGTTTATATTGTTACATTGTTTGTTTTAAATTTGAAAATATAAAATTTTATGCCTTTATAAAAGTAAAAACGGTCACACTAAAAAAACAATATTTATATATGTATACAATAGTTGCTCGATAATTCGTAAAATTTCATAAATCGAACTAAATGCTTAGTCCCCTGAGAAAACCTTTAAAATTAAAAAAAAATACATGTATTCCAGTCCCCTCTATAATTCGAAATGTCTGTTGGTGGGACTCATTCTACTATTCGAATTTTTTTTTCCAGAACCTCTATAATTCGAATTTGCTTTAACGTAATTATATGTATGTTCATATATATAAAGTATATTCATATGTACATCTATTTGACGTACTCGCAATGAAATTAATAACGACGGCAATTAAATATTATCGTACCTTACTTATCTAATCTGGACTTTAATCGTATCAGTTTACCATTTTTATGTCAGGATTGCGAAAATTTTTCGAGGTGTTCTGAAATAGACGAAAAAAGGATGCGATACAATTTTCAATGCTATTAGTAAGTTAGATAACGTTATGGTCCAGATTGTGACCAACAATTTAACACAAAAAAAAGAAAAGATTTCTTTAAAATGTAAAATATAATAATATAATAAATAAATGTCAATTAATAAATGTAATACATACATTTCATTTTTCACCTCTCTTTAATTCGAATTAATTTTTTCCTTCGATTATTCGAACACTCTGTAAATCGAAAACCTCTATAAATTGAATTTTTAGCTCAGTCCCCTGAATTTCGAATTATCGAGTGACTACTATATATATATATATTATATTTTTTAACTGCACACAAAATAAATATAGTTATAGTTGTTAAAAATATGTTGTATAGTACTTAGTTTTAAATATAATTTTAATTTATAATTTAAACACTGATTATACCATATATTTAATATACTGCGATGGTTCGTGATGTACAGAAAAAATATTATTTGCAGTCGTAAAAAAGTAATACATAATTTATTGCCAAAGACTCATCCTTTTCCCTAGAATCACGGAGAACATGATTATTTTTATTAGTAATTTTTGTTATACAACGTTACTACTATTTCAATGCTAAAAGTTTTTATAAAAAAATAATTCGGAAGGATTTCCGAACATAAAGATAAGGATCTATTTCATCTGTTATATTTGCAACAATAAACATGTACGGAATTCGTGTATTGTACAATATTTTACGAGTGTACAGGGCGATTATTTTAACGTGGATGTAAGAGACTATATTTATTTTCATTTTAGATTCCAAGTGAAACGAATGGTTAAGTCACTAATATTACACGAGAAATTTAAAATATTAGGACTATAATAAATTCTACTGGAAAATTATTCAGATGGCTAATTTTTGTACGCAAAATACGCATGTCCCATATTGTATTGATGTTATCGAGAATATACATCAGTGGCGTATCCATGGGGGAGTTTGGGGGTCAGAACTCCCCTATAAACCTGAGATGGTAAATTAACTTTTACATGAAACACGATTTTTTCTTTAACATTTTTATATTATAGAATTTTTACTTGGAAATCATATTTATAGTTTGTATAAACGCTATAAACGTATTATACACACGCTGCACACACACACACACACACACACACACACAAGTCATAATATGATCGTATTTAGATACTTTACTACTACTTTGATAATTTTTGTTTGGGAACATATTATTTAGGTTTTCTACAACGGTTGATTTTAAATCGGTCGTCTGGTCCCGATAACTAACATAAAAGCGATATCATTGTCTGTATTCAAAGTTTATACATATTGCATTCGCGGCTTGCCGATCATTTAATACAAGCACCTCATTGGGGCGTACACCGTTTGGGCGAATCGACCCAAAATACAGTTCGTTTGGGCGAATAAATGTATACCTTTGGGCGAATAGATATATACCGTTTGAGCGAGGATTATTTAACTAAAAATACCGTTTCGATGGTATAAAAATGCTTATAATATACACTCAACAATTATATAAAATATAAATAATTAAAAATAAGTAATATTTAAAAAAAAATATTGATAATATTTTTATATAACTATATAAGTTTTTTTTTATTTTAACTATATAAGTAGTTAGTAATATACAGTCAAAAAATTATAAATACATAGTTAATGGCATTATAATGTAATTAGTATATTTTAAAGTAATCTATTGGCTTCGTATGAAAATGCTCATAATATTCATTCAACAATTAATTGAAAGAAATCATATAAAATATAAATAATTAATAATAAGTTCTGCTTAAAAAATATATTGATATGGATATTAATATTATTATTATTTATAAATAGGAATTAATCTACAGTCAAAAAATTAAAATAATAAAATAAAATTACAGATAATATAATTATTAGTAGTTTTTAAAGCAATCTATATTATATATTTAAATTGCCTGATATTTTAAACCTAAACATTTTATGTATTCTAATTGGTTAATATCTCCTTTTTTATATTTATTTCATGTTTCTTATGTAAACTCTTTATTTTTTATTAGCAATAATATCATTCATATCTGTCATCAAATTTTTACCTCGCACAGGTAAAAATAATTTCACTCGCCCAAACGGACTATTATTTTTTTGGTTAAAATTATTACCTTCGCCCAAACGACCACTGCCCTCTCATTTAGTAAAACTAATAGTTATTAGTCAACAGTTAGTCGTTGCCCGTTGGTATCTCACTGTTTTACTTACTATTCGTTTATTCGTTTATATTTGACATTTGTATTCCATTATATTTGTATTATTTTAATTTGACATTATTCTAAGACGTCTAAACATTCCATTATGATAAGATATTTTTAAAAATTAATTTTTAGTATACCTAAGTGATTGGACAGAAAATATTTTAATATCTAATATTTATGTTCCTATATTAGTTCCTAGTTCCTAAATTGTTATTATTATTATTATTATTTATTATTATTGGCAAATTCTCTAATAAATAAGCAGACTAGAAAAATTAATTATTTTTTTTTACCTGAGTCAAAAAAACTAATGTCAACCAGACTTAAAAATACCGAGATCAATACAAATCAATATAAATATTAGTCAAAATGATAGTGATAAGATTAAATACATATACATTTGCTGACCCCCCCCCCCATCCATAAATAGTTCCTAGCTACGCCACTGATATACATTAAAGTCAACTATAGTTAAATCTACGTATTTGTTATTCAGTGAGTTATATGCATTACAAATATTAAAAAGTTTTTAACACTCAACCGCGAATTCAATATATACACTCAAAATATTTGTTGTTTAATAAAGGATATTTTTAAGTAATAGCATTGATTATAGAATATAAAATCAATGGTAATAGTAATTTGGATATTTTCATTTTATAATCATGTATTGTACAAGCATTGTTTTGTCAAAGGCGGAAAATTCCCTATAATGTTAAATTCTTTCCCATTAATCATATTGTAAATTGTGATATTTATAACCAATAAAACATTATTGTATTATTGTACGATAAGACACGTTCAATTGTTAGTAATAGTTCTATTTACAGATTATGTTGTGATTACATATAGGAAATGTTGAAAATAAATTAGACGGCATAGTAATAAATACACGCATAGATGATGAATATAGTACCTAATAGGAAATCTAGACCAACAATTGTTCTAAAGTTTATAAATTAAAAAACATAAATGTTTGATAATAAAATAAGTTGAAAAAGCATGAATCATTGAATGTATGTGCGGAAGTATATGCAAATATATGCGTAGTATATTGATAAATAGTAAAATGTATAACACAAATAAATATTTTGTTAAAATACAATAGATTTTGTTAAAAAATTATAACATTGAATCCAATGAAATAAGAGTAATATAAAAAAGTATTAATGTAAAGAACTCATTTTTAAATATCACGAAAATAGCAAACATATTCAGATTTTAAAAGAATAATGTATTTTTCTCTTTATTATTTCATATATTTTTTAAATCTTTCGAAAAACGTAAAATATATATTTGTTTGAAAAAAAATAAAAAACTAATAATAAAATATACATTTATTAAATAGTTTACTTTATTTAAATTAAATACACTATGACTTAATTTTGTTGAAGGTTTTGCTTACGGTAAAACCGTTTAAATTTATGAGTGAGCAAATAAAAAGAGAAATCAACAAAATTAGGATGAAAATACCCGACTAACTAGTTACGACCATTATGCTTCAATAGTAAGTCTTTTAACTCTGGAAAATTTAAAGGTATGCATTTTTTAATGGTACATTAAATCTGTAAATATACTATAAGAACTAATGAAATGTAGGACTGGCTCCCTATTTTCACAACTCGCTAAAGTATATCAGCTTCAAGAGTTGAATGAATACAGCTATTATTGCTAAATAATACAGCTAAATTAGTATATTATTCTTTAAGGGGAGTTTTATCAATCTACGTATTATAATAAAATTCATAAATCTGCAATATATTTTATTAGAAAAAAAAAAACAATTTAACTACATTCTTATGGTTAAAAACTCATAAGTCTTTCAATTTTATATACTTAGGTTTGACATTAATTTCAAGATTTTTCATAGGAGTTTTTTCATAGCCAATAAATATTATTTTTATTGAAAAGTATCAAAAAAGTTTTACATATGTTATAAGATAAAATGTTAACAAAATCGGGTATTTAAACAAAATTTACCTATACAATAATGATAATTGATATTTTGTAATATAGTAATTATAATAATTAAAAGAAAAATGTTATTTACTTAGTATTATAAATAAATGCTATTTTATTTTTTTGGATAAGCTAGACCATTAAAATTAAAAGATTAATACATAATTAAGATTTTAATACCAACTATTAAGAAATTTGGTTATATTAATAAACATCAATCACCTATAGAAATATAAACTGAGACATTATTTTTCAGAATTTTTTTTCGA